CCCCTGTGCCTCTGCCTGCTCCCTGCCTCCTGGGCACAGGCACTCACAGGCATCGCAGCGGCTGTGCCTCTCACTGAGATCATCATATGCGTGGGGGTCCTGCGATGGCAAACTGATGGAGAAAGGAAAATTGCTGAGCCGCTGCTGCCCCAGCACAAGGCAGATGTAGAGCATCCCTGCTCTTGCACCCCTGCCCGGCTTCCAGCTTGGTGAAGCTGCAGCCCAGGCTCACGGGGCAGCAGAGGGCCAGGACCGCAGGGGCAGTCCCTGGCATGGCACAGCACTCCCAGCCTCCTGTCTGGGGAGCTGGGCAGGACACCAACCTGAAGGGGATGCGGATGCCCATGCTCAGCATTTCTGAAGAAAATGCATCCCTGTCCCTACAGAGCGGGCACCGGAAACAAGAAATGCCATCGCGCACAGCCTGTCCCTGCAGCAGAAATGTAGGGAGCAGGAGTGAGGCCCTGGTGCTGCTGAGCACCTGCCGTGCCCCGGGGGAGAGAGAGAGGCTCCTACCTGGATGCAGCCCCTGTGGAACCAGGCGTGCTTGCACGCTGGGCACACCATGGTGCCGTAGGACTGTCTGTCCCCGACAAGCTCCAGGCAGAGGAGGCAGGTGGTGTCCTTCTCTGGAGCTGCCTCCACTGCCTGCTCTGGGCTGTGCTCCCCACAGAAGGACCTGGGGGGAAAGGAAAGGGATGGGCGGAGTGAGAAGCGCTGGGTCCTTCCCTGATGGCAGGTTAGGAGGGGAGAGGAGAGGAGGTACCTGTACTGGAAAAAGAACTGCGTCACGCATCCTCCCTCCGTGGTACAGGGCAGATGGAAGCTGCGGTCGCAGCCCTCCCGGCAGCAGGTTGTGGCAGCCCCGCTCTTGCCACAGACGAAGCATTGCTGGAAAGAGCAGAGCAGCCCCGTCAGCGGCAGCCTCACGCCTCCCCAGCCAGCCCCACGCCTCCGGGCAGGGGGCAGCATGTGGCCGCTGCTGGGTCACAGCCTACAGATCCACCCGGCACACGCAGCTGCTGGGCTGGAGCCTCTGTGGAGCTGCCGGGAGCAAGGCTTTTGTCCCAGAGCTGGTTGGAGGGGCTGGGATTTCTTCCTTGGGGTCTAGGCTAAGCTCCCACAAACATCTCCTGGCACAGATCTCCCTGACCTGGCCAGGTCCTCACCTGCTGCGCTGCCCGCTCGATCGTGCGGCGGATATCCTCTGGGAGAAATCCCATCAGGCCCACATCCTCCAGCGGTTGCTGCGAAAGCTTGTTGGCAAAAAACTGCAGAAGAGAAGAGATGAGGAGCTGATGAGGAGAGCGTGGCCGGGACTGCCTGTCGGCCAGCTGGAGGGAGCCCCGGGGGCACTCACCAGGCAAAACACGTGGGCACAGAGGCCGTGCTGCTGGATTTTGTGCCCGCAGATATCCGGGTCCGCCGCTGCCCGGCCACACAGCACGCACGCTGGAGGGGAGAGAGCAAACGCCACCGGGAATGAGCACCTCTGCGGGCCGGGGGAAGCGTCCCTGAGGGACTGGCCCGAGGGCCTGCTCTGTCCCTGGCGGGCCGAAGGGCAGGGCGGGGGGCCGTGGCCAGCAAGGGGCATGGCAGGCAGGGCTGTCCCAGCTGGCGCCCACTGCCCAGCCGGCCCGCTCGCCGCGGGCAGGAGGGGCCCTGCCCCGGGGCCGCTGGGGAGCTCCTGCCTCCCCTGCCAGGGCCCGCGCTGAGCGCCCCAACACCCCTGCTCTGCTGCGGGAGGGATACTTTGCTCTCACCCTGCTCCATCGAGTCGGGGGCCTCCCGCTTTCTCCCAGACATGGTGCACATTGACTGTGACAGTTGGGAGAGCCACTGTCCCAGCAGTACTGGCGTGTCTCTCCCAGGCGCTTCCCGGCTGACTCTGAGGGAGAAGCAGGGCACAGGTGAGCTCGCAGCACAGGCCCAGCGCCCCGAGGCGTGGGGCCCCCTCCTGCCTCGGCAGCGATGTCCGGCCCGAGCCCCGTCCCTCCCCTGCGCTCTCCTCACCTCTCCAGGTCGCACTGACACACCTGAGCCCGGTTGCCCCTCTGAGTCACCGTGTCCATGGTGACACCAGCATCCCCAAACATGGGCACAGCTGGTCCCTGTGAGCACAGTGACATCACGACCTCTGGCCTGCACGTGCCGCTGATGCGGGCAGGGGTGGCCTCGGCCTCCTCCACCCGCTCCGAGACGGCCGCCGCCACACAGGGGTGGGTGCGACGTGCCGGGGCTGGGCCCGAGCCCTCGGCCCCGCGTCACCGGGGCGGCTGCTCCTGCAGCAAGAGCAGAGCCAAACGGCAGGTCCCGCGGGGCAGCCGGCAAGGGGGGCACTGCTGGCCGAACGCTGCTCTTCGGGCCGTGCGGCCCCAGGGCTCCAGCCCCGGCCAAGGGAAACCTCTGCTCCTGCCCTCGGCCCCGGGAGCGCTGCCAGCGGCTCGGGGAAGGGGATCCTTCCTCCGCGCCGCCCGGCTGAGGCTGCATCTGCAGCCCCGACACTGGCTCTGGGCTCCCCGGTACAAGGGCAGAAGCGACCTTTGAAGCCTGGCTTGGGCTCAGAGGGGCACAGCACAGGGCCTCAGGCCGGCACCAAAATGTCACAGGTGGCCCAACATCTTTCCCCTGACCTCCTCAGAGCTTTGATGTGCTGCCTCCAGAGCAAAAAGCAGCGGGACAGCAAGCTGGGGAGTCACGGCAGAAACGGCCTTTTCCCATGGCAATAAACTGCCTTTCAGAGTCAGCGTGAGCCTGTCCTTGGTGGGGCAGCTTTGCAGGGACTATAAAGAGGCACATGTGAGCAAAGATTCCAGCAGAGTCTCTCTCCCAGGACGCTCTGACCCTGGCCTGTTCCTTTACTGGTGATTTTGAGGACTTTGCTGATGCAGGAGGGTGGATGGAAAACTTAGGGTGTGAGTCAGCTCCCTTCATCTTGCCAAATCTCTCCCCCTTTGAGTGAGTCTTTTCCCAACCACATCCTGGTCGGTATGGCCAGTGTTTCTCGTACATGGCCACTCACTGGCATGGGCCACAGGCCCTCAGGAAGCTGCAGTTTGCAGCACCACTGTCTGTCAGGAAAGACAAGTTTTGTCCAGTCCGTCTCTCTCGCCTTCTCTCCACCTTCCCTCAGTGCTTTTTATTTCTCCTTCACCAGCCTCTGTGCTTCCTTGGTCTGCTATCTCACTGTTTATACTCCTGTTTTGCATAGGAGCTCAGGCTTTTGCCATCTAATATTCCTTTGAAAAAGCCAAATTTTAGTCTGTAAATCTACCCCCACTACTGCTATATTCTGCACCCTGAACAGGAGACACAGAGGCTAACACTGGTGTACACCATGCTGGAGGGCAGCTCTTACCCATGCTGAGCTACCTGCTCTTGCTCTCCCCTGTTCAGCACTGGCCCTCAAGTACACAGCCAAACAAGCCTGTGGTGTCTTTTGTTATGTGATCAAATTCTCAAAAATCTTGCAGCATGTAATGTTTACACCATATAGACAAAAAGCTCAAAGCATAAGACAAACATGGAATTGACACTATAAACATTTATCTATTTAGAAACAAAGTTTAACAATATTTTCCAATATTATTTTCTATAGGATCTTAGAGAGACTCAAATTTAGATAGTAATATTTTTCTGTAACTTCTCTAAAGAAGAAAAACGACACATTTCTGACCAGTAAGATAAGATTTATTGTTTTGCCTTCACTTTCCTTCTTGCATCCTTATGTTTCTTCCGGCATTCCTGAAAATATTTGAATTTTAACATAATATTGTGAGAAGTTTCTAGATTCACTTGTCTTAAACACTTTTTTTACATGCAGTAAATTCTCTCGTCCTATGCAATACAGAGATTCAGTAGTGTACCTGGCTGGACATCACAACATGATGTTATACATGAAAAATTTTTAGTTCCCTGGTAATTACAAAGTTTTAAGTCATTCTAAGTGTCCTGAATTATTTTTTTTAATGCAGATTAAGCAAATAAACAGCCATGTTCTTTCCTTATGCTGAGCTTTCAACTGCAGTTATCAAGTAACAGATGTCAAAATACTCACCTCAAGCAATAATCTACGTCTGTCTTCCCAACCATCTTTTTCTTCACTGAGGTCTACTGATCTACAAAATAACTTAGGGCCCTCTGCACAGAACAGAGAACAAATTAATATGGTTAAACACTTCTGAATAAGCTGCTGTTCATAAATCTCATGGGCAACACAGCAATCAAGTCAGAGGGCCTATTCTTCATATTTCTCTATTGCTCCCACCACATGGTTGGGTCAAACAGGAATGTTATGTATTACAACCCTGTGTACTAAGAAAAACGAAAGGCAGCAGCTGTCTTCCTCAATATGCTGTTCCCTAAATTGCAATCAAACAGCATCTGTTTCAATAAAAGCTCAGCACCATTATCCCACCTCTCCCCACAAACTTATGCCTGCTAAGGAATCAGAGCTCAATTTTAACAGGCACTGTAAATCAGACAGGCTGAAAGGTTACAGTACAATAACTCTATTTACACAGTAACTTTTACACATATATTTAATGATAGTTACCTAACATGTCTCAGGGAACAAACATTTAAGTCTTTCCTGGTAATTTATTGTATAAACTATCAAAAGCAATTGTTTTGGTGGCCTGTGGGTTAGGGTTTTTTGGTGTATTTTTTTTGTTGTTGTTTTGTCCGTTGGTTTTTAACTATGAAAAGAGTAAGTTAAAAGAAAAAAAAAAAAATTATTTCTGATCAAGAACCATGTGGACATATGTGGCTCATAAGAATATTCAATATTCTTGACAGTAACACCAGAAACACATAAAAAACCATTAAAGACCATACATATATATGCATGCATGCTTGAAAGGATCCAGAATGTCTAGATAACTTGTCAAGTGATTTTGGTTTTTTGTAAGCCCTAAAAGACCACCCACATATTAGGCAATCATCTGAAAACAGGAAAGCAAGATAGCTGTTCAGCATTTATTTTAACCAGGACTTTCTTGTGAGATTTACTACCACAATTTGTACCAGAAGTCATAATGGAAATTTGAAATTTTACTTTTTTTTCTTAAACCTCTCATTTGTGTTTTAAGTACATGACATTATTAACTAGGCAGTATTTTTTTTTCTCACTGAATTTTAGTAATAGTTAAAAAAAGGGCTGAATAATTTCTGTTATACCTCTTAGTCGTTCATCATCTTTGGAGAAGAAGAAAAATCTAGCACTTTCTGTCTGTGAGAAAAACCTAGACAAACAAAGGAATTTTAGTGTCATAAAAGTTGCTGTCAAATTCCATTAACCCAAGTTAATTACTCCACAGTAACCAAATATAGCCTTCTATAAAAAAAGTTTCTTAACAAAACTTAATATGTACCTGACTTTTGGCCAAAGCCACTACCCAGTTAAGTTCTCATGCACTGAACTAGAAACTCAGCTTTTAAATCAATTCAAATCAAGTATGGTACTAGGATTTTTGACTATTAAGTTCTGTGCAGCAAGGAATGGTTGGTTTCCTGAGAAGACTTCCATTGTTGAGAGATGTGGAATGAAGATGTTAGTTTCCCATGACCTGAGTACTGCTATTAATATTCTCATGGTACCAAACTAGTATAACCAAGTAGACAACAAAGAAATACAACTTGCATTTCTTCATGCCTTTCACTTTCTGACGTGTCTGGTTCATCATCACCCTCAGAACTGCTGTCTTGGAAACGTGGATCTTCCTGCCATGTGACTTTTACAGGTTTTATTGTTTCAAGTATGTAGGGCTCTGCAATGATAACACAAAGAAGAAAAAAAAAAATCAAGATTATTCCCCTACCAGCCAGTGAAAATTTCTACTTCAGAGTGAAATACTTAAACTGGAAAAAGACAGATTTAAAAAAAGACAAAAACCTCCCCTCCCAAGTTTTCCACTACCCTCTGGGCAGGTATGTATTGAGTTTTTCTCCTATGTCACAAATTCATCCTCAAAATTCACAGCTAGTACCATCCCAGCATAGGGACAAAGTTCAGGAGTCATTCTGAAGCTTGTTGTTGCGGTCCAGAGTTATCAAGTCACTCTGACCTAACAATCACCATCAACTGAGCTGGGATTAATTGTGCCTATTCATATGTTTAGCTTGCAGAAGTAGAAATAAAAGCTTTCCTTCACTGTGAACTTAATAAATTCCCTTGCAAAGGAACTCTTAATGCCTTCGCTTATTCTTTCTGTGTGTTTAAGATCTGTTGTTTTCATGTAGGTATTCCTGCCTATAGCACACAGAGCCAGTTGCCAGAAGCCCCATTTACAAATGGTTATTTAAAAATGTACCTGAGCCCTCGCTACTTCACCTCACCAGAAGCACTGAGGTCAGAAACCTATGGTACCCTTTTCTGTTATCGTGTAAGCACAGTACTTGTCTGGATGACCAAACTAGAGAATACAGCTCCTGTACTGCCTCTCTCTGGCAATATAAAACAGTTTCCAAGACCAGCAGTAACTAGACTATGAAACACAAACAGTATTTTATTCAAGAGGAAGATCAGAAAATTCTACTTCGGAACAAGTGAGCATTTACGTGTTAAAATTGCCGACAAAATACTCAGTTTGTGCTCAAAAAAGAGACAATAGACATGTTCTCCCTTTGTGCTTTCCACATGACACACATTATCTTAGGTTCATTAAAACCAATAAAAGTAATAATAAAATTCACCGATGCAATTGAGGTATGTGCAATGGAAGACTTATCTTTTTGTTTGTCAATGCAGCAACTAGCACAGTGGCCCTGTTGCCACCAAACAGGATTCTTACACGATATAAATCAATAATTATTTGTAACAGCAAATAAGACATAGTACTCAAATGTGGTTCTCAGTGCTAAGAACTCTGAACTACATCTCCACTCAGATATTTTCCACTTTGTTCTAGAGATCTCTGAAACTTGTATTACTGCATTCAGAAGACACTGAATACTTTCTGAAATCAGCAGGAATGTGGGGTGTGTGCGTGTCAGGTTTATTTTGGTATTTCAATTAACTTCACACAGTTTATTTCCCATGT